CACTAATAATATAAAATAACTATACACTATTATTAGATTACAAACTACACTGACTTTCATAATGAATAACAAAATTAATTGATAGTGTAAAAATACTTTACGATTCCATAAACTCTCTTACAATTATTAAAATCAATTTGTAAAAATTAACTCCATGTGAATTATTTGATCCTTATGGCATTAGAAGTATAAGTAAATCATACCAAAAGGAAAATATCTAAGACATAAATGTCTAAATTAATTTTATAAGAAGTAAAGGAAGTAACTTTAGACCACTGAATTAGAAAATACAGAAAAGATTAGCGTAAATTTTGCGCAATAAGAGACTCACTCAGTAAATGGTTCAAAATTTTGCCAATAGCAACAATTGTTTGAGACACTTGATTGATCTTGAAAAGAGCTATAAATTTCTTTACCCTAAAGTTACCAGTTTTTGCGGATTGAATTGGACATTACAAGAGGGTTGTAATTTGTCACGAAACAAAATTTGTCGCCAAAATAGACCGAATTCGGTTATGTTTGGATTGTTCCAATTTTTCAACATAGGATCCAAAATCCAATACCCAATGCAACGATTGTTGTTTTTCTTTTGGTTTTCGATCTTGACATTTCTCAGTTTGGGTACTGCGTATTAAATTGGATTGATTGATTGATGAACACCTCTAACTAGATTAGGCTAAACCTTCATATCGAAGAAGGAGAAGTTGGGGGAGAATGGGCGAAGGGGTTGAGGCTGGTAAGCTTTAATGGACAAGTAGTTGTTCATTACATAATCTTCATGTAAATGATGACACTCCATAATAACAGAAACAAAACACGTATGGTATTTTTCCACCCAATTTGGATATGTGTAACTAAGCACAGATGAGGACATGGGAATAGCATGTTGTGGTGCTTGTTTTTTCTGATTCAGAAAAGATATGGGTTGGTAGTTTGAGTTTGGCATGTTTAAATCTAATTCAATTCAATTAAACAAATTATAAATCGATAAAATCTTGATAGTTGAAAGTCGATAATTTTTTTTTTAAATTTAAATATATTTCAAGTTCTTATAAATATGATCATGTCTCTTGTGATTGTAAAAAAAACTTGTCATTTTTAGATTTTTGGCATTTTGTTAATATTATGTAATTTAAATATGTTTTTAGCTTTTTTAAGACGAGTAAGTTTTGATTTTAGTTTTTAAAAAAAAATATTTTTTTTTAAATGTAAAATTATTATTTTAGTTCTTATTATATGTATTCCTTCTTAATCACTAATCATGTGTTTATTTTAATGTCAAATAATCATCCTAGATGACACTATCTATGATGTCATGTTACCATGTGATATTTTTACAAAATTTTATATATCTTTAAAATAGATGTTATTTATGAATGTTAAAGTTAAAAGGCAATGACTAGATTTTAGAGAGTGAAATTAAAGAAAATATCATAAGATAATCAAAATTAAAATTTATTCATTTTTTATAAATAAAAATAACAATAGTTCAAAATAAATAATTTTATAGAGATAAAATCAAACTCGATGATTTTATGGGAGTAAAATAATATTTAAGTCTTTAATAAATTTGGCTTAAATACACATATATATATATATATATATAAAGTTTTCATTTTGATCTTTAGTCCTTTAATTATTTTTTGTTTTCGTTTCAGTCTTTCTAAAGTTTTGTTGTTTTGTCTTGTAATTTTTTTATTTTTTATTTTATTTTGGTCCTATAGTTTATTTTTCTTTGTTAGATTTAATGGTTAATCTAATGATAAGGACAAAAATGAAATAATTTTTTTTACAGGAATGAAATTGAAGAAAAAAAATTAAAAGACTAAAATAAAATATAAAAAACAGATTTTATAGGAGCTAAAAAGTTATTTGAGCTTTTATTAAATTTAAACCTTTAAATACAATAAATGCATGTATACATATTAAAAAAAAAATATAGTTGTAACCTTTGCATTAGTGACTAGCAAAAAATAAAAATAAAAATTATATATACAACTTCATAAAAGTTATAATGACTCAATTATCCTTACAAATGTACAAACAACAATTATAACAAATAAGTATAAATAATTTAACAAAAAATAAGTTAGAAATGGAAAAATAAATCATAATACGTGAATATGAAAATAATAAAGACAACAAGAAAAACATGAATAAAATTACATTAACAATCTTTTTACATATCATTGATTTCTCTATATAGATTAGAGTAAGTAGAAAACTTATTTTTATCTCTTATATGCTATCACTCATTTTAATATCCTATCATATTTTATGTTTTATTATGTTTTCTATTTATTATATTTCTTTCATAACTTAAAAGGTGTTGAAATTTTACTGAACTTCTATAAAATTTTATGCTTAAGACTTAATTTTTTTCCTGATCACCAAAAGTAAAGATTTTTACTTCATATAAGTTAAAACTTAAATTTTATAAATTTAGCTTAAATAGAAGTTTAGTCTCTTTAAAATAAAATTATTTTAATTTTAATCTTCTTAATTTTAGTTATTTTTATTTTAATTCTTTCAATTTTAATTATTTTCGGTCTGATCCTTTTAAAGTTTATTTTTCTTTTGAAACTTCTTTTATTCTGGTCCTATAATTTTGTTACTTTTTTTTTCTTTTGCTCCTTGTATTTTTTTTGGGGGCTTTTTTTCTTTTAGATTTAAGGGTGAATTTGACGACAAGGACAAAAATAAAAGAATTATTTTTTACATAAACAAATTTTTTAAATAATTAAAAAGACTAAAATAAAAGCTTTTAAAAAAATTATTTAAGCCTTTAATTTTATAATTTAGTTCGGCTTGATTAAAGATGAGCTAGTTCAATAGTTTTTTTCCTTCTCTTTTTCACGTCCTTACTTATTTGATATGATTTTGCATTGTTATAGTGAATATTAACATTTATAATTGAGAAAAAAATTTGTTATATGTTATACAATATTACTTTTGTTTTTATATCTTTTCATCACTTTATTTTTTCATAACTTCAATTATATTCATATATAATAAAAATTGTACGCTATATTTTTTATGTTTATTTTCTTATTATTATCATTAAAGATAAACACAAAAGTGATATACAATTTTTATTTTATATATAGTATTACTCTTTACAATTTTGCTTGAGCTGACAGATTAGAAATTTTAAGTAGTGGAAACAATATTTATATATAAATTTATAGTAATAAATATATAATTTCATATTTTTTAGAATAAAAATATACATTTTAATTATTTCTTTACGAGATTTCATATTCTAAAAATATTAATGGTTTTTTCATTTTCAACATCTTTAAAAAAAAGTTATATAAGTAATAAAACAATCATTCAATAATTAATTTCTCACATTAAAACTTTTTTTTAAAAAAGTATAATATGAACTTGAATAAATCATTATTTTTTGACTAAATTTATTTAACTATAATTGATATGACATACATACATATAAGTTTGCTAATTTACAATTACTTGTATTTTTTTAAAAGGAGTAGGTTAATAAGTTACACTTAGGTGCATTTTAAAAAATATTACAGTTATAACTTGTTAATATACTCTTTTTAAAAGAGAAGATGTGTTTTAACAAATCTCGTATACAAATGATAACTTACATCCATTTATTTTTAAGAAAAATTAAGTTAACAAACTACACTCAAATATATTATATTTTTTTTAAAAAAAATATACTTCAAAAATAAATATTGATTTTAACTATTTTTTATAACATAAAATACTTAATTTTTAACATAATAAATAATATATTTTATTATAATATATATTAAGAAAATAATTAATATAATGCCCCCACTTCAATGAACCTACATCCGTCCTTGCATGAGCATAAGCAACTGATTATTGTCGACCAAAACGAGAACAGAGAGACGCAGAATGAATAAAAAGTTACATTACAGGAAAAATAAAATGAAAAATTCATCTTAAATTAAATTAATTGAAATTAACAAAAACAAAAGTCATTTCATAAACGTTAAGCACATGTAATAAGACAACAAAAATGTGGAGAATGATGTTAAACACATGTAATAAGACAACAAAAATGTGGAGAATGATGTTAAACACATGTAATAAGACAACAAAAATGTGGAGAATGATGTTAAACACATGTAATAAGACAACAAAAATGTGGAGAATGATGTTAGTATAATTTGTACAAAAACTAAATTTTAACCAAAGACTCTTCGATCATGGGACAGTTTGCACCATTAATGCAGGGCTATAGCTGCCGTATCTTGAGTGTCGGTATCTCAGTAATTAGAGTGTAAAAGATTTATTTTCCTTTTTCTCCACTTCAAAAATTACTCTTTTTGAAACCTGAATCTTAATTAACTGACTTGCTTATTAAGCAGGAGGTTATAGACTCTAAGGGGCTTCCTATTTCCTTACTCAAAAGTCCAAAGCTACATTCACTAATTCACATTATCGCGTATATTCTAAGTTTATGTTCATAATTAATTTAGTTTTTCTATAATATAGATACGTCAAGACAAATCACATTAAATTAATTATTATTTTATGTGTGATGTTCTTTACAAATTTTTATGCAAGCATATTAAAATGACACCCTTTAAAAAATAAAAAATAAAATCATTCCTAAACTATTAGAGAAACAAAAGAAAAGAAAAAAGTTTCGTTCCACGTGATTGCCACACGCCCATTAGCGATCAGGAAAAGGAAAAGGATTGGAGGAGAAGCAAAGGGTCGAGATCCTATTACGTTTCGTTGGCTAAAAACGTCCACTACATACACGGGGGTCAAAAGTCGCCAATTTAAATACTTTTTAATAATAATATAAATGTACTTGTGACATTTGATATAACATAAATAGGTATTTTTAATATTAATTTCATATAGTTTTCTATAAAAAAAAAAAAGGTACGATGGAATAAACAGAATAATTTGGATAGCTTAATGAGTTTTCAAGAGTTGTTATAAATTATGATATGTTTTGGTAAATAAATAATTTTTTGGTAGTCTTTGATCAGATTCACCCGAGGTGATGTCAAGTAACGTGTTAGGTGCAATAACATAACATAATTAAGGTGTTTTGTAATTGGTAGTAATAAGCAAAAGAGAGTGAAAATAATGGTAACGTTAGACGGTGCTAATGTTGTTGTGACTAAAGTAGCCCCACAAGGGTGACGTGTCGCTGTATGGAGGAGCGGAGATAGATCCGTATAAATAGGCGTGTTGGGAATGGAGCGCCAAGTGGGTAGTCCGCCGCCCGCGCTGACCGCATACCGCATACAGGATTGGATCGACGATGAGCGCTCCGTCGCGAGAAGAGGCGTCGAAGGAGGAGAGGGAGGAGGAGGAGGAGGAGGGGAACCGGCTTCTAGTTGTAGAGGATGAAGAAGGGTTGGAGGTGGCATACGAAGCGGGGGAGAAGATCCTGGTGACGGATTTCGAGTTCGACTCCATCGACGATTCCACTGTCCCTCCCTTCTCCTGGAACAAGCTCTGGCTCTTCACTGGGCCTGGCTTCTTGATGAGCATAGCGTTTTTGGATCCGGGGAATCTCGAGGGGGATCTCCAGGCCGGGGCCATCGCCGGCTACTCCCTCCTCTGGCTCTTGATGTGGGCCACCTTCATGGGCCTCTTGATCCAGCTTCTATCCGCCAGGCTCGGTGTCGCCACGGGCCGCCACCTCGCCGAGCTTTGCAAGGACGAGTATCCCAATTGGGCCCGCCTCCTGCTTTGGTTCATGGCCGAGCTGGCCCTCATTGGCGCCGACATTCAAGAGGTTATTGGAAGTGCCATCGCCATTCAAATTCTTAGCCGCGGCTTCTTCCCTCTCTGGGCTGGAGTTCTAATTACTGCTTCCGATTGGTATCCCTCACACCCTTCCTTCTTGTTACTTCTTCCACTCGTGTATACCTCCTTTTTCATAACTACTAATCAGCAAAGAAAATGAATTAAGAATGTAAAATGAATTCAATTCAAGCTAAAATCAGCTTTAAGACTTAATTTATGATATTAATTTGGGTGGCTATTACTTATGCTTGATTTTGTGTCTTGATTTCTATTTTCTGGCTCTAGTTTATTGTTGCCTTTGATTAATTTATGGAAGCTTACTGCGTTTCATGTTCGGACTGTGGTTTATTCTCTCTGTTTTGAACAGCTTCTTCTTTCTGTTTCTTGAGAACTATGGAGTGAGGAAGTTGGAAGCTGCTTTTGCAGTTCTCATCGCTACTATGGCTCTTTCTTTCGCCTGGATGTTTGGTGATGCAAAACCTAATGGAAAAGAGCTTTTGATGGGTAAACCTCATCCACTGTCTTTTTTAATAGCCTGTTCTTCTCAATGGTATTTCAGAGGATGTCTATAATCTAAGAATCCGTGGGTATAATATGACTGTTTGTTCCTTTTGGTAGGTATTTTGCTTCCAAGACTAAGCTCAAAAACAATTCGACAGGCTGTGGGTGTTGTAGGTTGTGTCATTATGCCTCACAATGTATTTCTGCATTCTGCTTTGGTGCAGTCAAGGAAGGTTGACCCCAATAAGAAAGGTCGGGTACAGGAGGCTATCAACTACTATTCAATTGAGTCATCGGCTGCACTTTCAGTCTCCTTCATGATCAATTTATTTGTAACAACCGTTTTTGCTAAGGGTTTTTATGGAACAAAGCAAGCAAATAGCATAGGATTGGTCAATGCAGGGCAGTATCTTGAAGAAAAATATGGAGGAGGAGCCTTCCCTATTCTTTATATATGGGGAATTGGGTTATTGGCAGCTGGGCAGAGTAGCACCATCACTGGCACATATGCTGGTCAATTCATAATGGGGGGTTTCCTTGACCTTCGTTTAAAGAAATGGTTGAGAGCATTGATCACTAGAAGTTTTGCAATTGTGCCAACTATAATTGTAGCCGTTGTTTTCAATAGATCAGAAGCTTCATTGGATGTTTTGAATGAATGGCTCAATGTGCTTCAGTCCATGCAAATTCCCTTTGCTCTGATTCCCCTCCTCACCTTGGTCTCCAAAGAGCATATAATGGGAACCTTTAGGGTTGGGCCTATTCTTGAGGTTAGTTAATCTTCTCACTGTTCTTTCATTTCATTGATTGTTTATTATAAGATCTCTTTGAAGCAACTATCCTCATGCTTCAAAGTTATGTTTTTAATTACTAGATTATTTGACAACACAATGGTTTGGGTGGTAAGGGAACAATAGTATAGTTTTCTAATGTTTTAGCTGTCTCTGCAGCTAGCAATATCTTTTTCTCTTATTTAGAACTTAGGAATGTTGTCTGTCTGATTTAACAGCTAGATTCAATCTGATGATCAAATCTAGAATTATATAAGATGTATCGATGGTTATTCAATAACAATCTATAACTGTTTGCTGGGTAAAAATAGAATTAGATCTGCATTAACATGCTTGACGTTTCTCTGTATTTGCTTCATAGATGCTTTAAGTTCTAATAATTTTTGTTTGAGTATCTTTGTGCATCTGAAATATGTATGTGAATTCTCCAGTGATAAGTGTTTGTGAATGGATTTGTATTCATGTGGTAGAATTGATCAGCAAATTTGAATTTAGATTACGATTCATGAATGGTTGGATGAGTTTGCATTTATACAAGTGACAAACTAGTCATCTGTAGTAGGCCCCAATTTGGATAAAATTCTCAATAGACACTTATACAGTTAACCTTTTATCATAACTTTATACACCTTCAAAACAAGATGATGCTTGGAATTAATAGGTTATATAAAATATGCGAGTGATTATTGCTCACTTTCTCTAAGCTAATTTTACAAAATATAGATGCCAATGCACTTGCATGTCATCTGACATAGATAGTTTCTCATATTATCAATGTTTCACTAGTACATCACATCAAGTGAGGGTGCTTGAATTTCTGTTCGTACTTCTATAGGGTAAAAGTAAAAAATATATGCTGCTCTGCTCCTGTGTTGAATTCATAAAGTTCTAACGTTTTAAGGAATTGTCTAATAACAGGAAAATGATTGCTGCATATTGATTTCCATTAACATGACTATTTTGTAATTTGCATTAAAATCCTGCACAGGGATTTGTTCCTGTACAGGATTCACAAGCTTGTGGTCCTTTTTGTGGGAATCGGTTGATGTAAAAGTAATTTAAAGAAATATGAGCAAATCCCATATTCATTCAGTAAACTGGTTTCAAGTTATCAAAATCATCTGCTTTTTTAATACTAATGATTGCTTATTTTATTTATTTTGTAGAGAGTGGCATGGACTGTTGCTGGACTGATAATAGTAATTAATGGCTATCTCTTGTTAGATTTCTTCCTTTCTGAGGTGAATGGCGTGCTGCTTGGTCTTTTAGCCTGCTCCAGCACAGTAGCCTATGTTGCATTCATTGTATATTTGGTTTCACGGAGCGGTGTTCTTCCTTCTTCTTGGGTTAATCGCCTTCCCAAGGGATTTTCTTCTACTGGGAACTAAGTCAACAAAATTCAGACCATGAAAAATCTGGAAATAGTTCGGCAAACTTCTGCTAGACAATTTTGCATGAGGAGTTTTGCTTCATATACACCATAAAGCTTATAGAGTTTCTCTAACCTTGCAACCTGGATTAAAGGGAAGACAGGGTCAGATAGTGGAAAGCACCTAGATTTAACTGCACTTCAATTTTGCAACAGGCTTACAGAGTTTACCTTCCATGTGTAGCAAGATGGAGATAACTTCTGTAATGGAAGATGTGGAGAGAGCACCATTACAAGTTGCAGGATAAATTACCGTCCTATGTACCTGCCTTATTCGTTTTCTAAGTTCTAACAAGTTGTGGATTGGTCCATTATTCTTTGATGTAAACAGTTTGTATTTAACTTGGACGAAATAGCACACGTTCCTTTTATGAAGGAACACAAAGTACATTTTGCCTTAGCCAGGTAAGACAACAGACATAAGTTGTAGGGATTATTCTACAGTGCAATGTGGAGAACATTTATTTTTATCATCTTTTATGTTTTCTAGTTGAACTCATCTGAAGGTGTTGGTTGATGGGGAGGCATGGCAATGGGGTCGGGTGGGTTTTGCTCTCTCAATTCATGTCAATTAAAGGCGAAGCCATTTCGAATGTAAAAAAATGAGGTTATATTTTTAAAATTTATTTAAGTCTCAACGAGTTTTTTTGGGTTCAAGTAAACCAGAAGGACACACATTTTTTTATATATAATTTTAAATAAATTTTATTTAATTTATTAACTAGATTATAATTTAAATAACATATACAAATTAATAAATAAGAATTTAAAATTTTAAGAATTAAATTATATATGTAATTAATTATATAATTTTAAGTTTGATACTTCATTGTTGCTATAATTTAATTTATTTAACTATCATAATTATTAATTTATATTTTTAATAATTATAAAAGCTGAAAATATAATAATATCGACATAATATATATATATATATATAAAGGGAGAGAATCACTTGCTTCGAGTCAATATTAGTAAAATTATTTTTCTTAATAATTCATTGTATATATCAAATTTCAACAATTTAATTGTAAAATTCTTAATGAGTTTATCATGTTTATAAATTTTTAAAAAATTTAAAAATCTTATGATATTTTATCACATGAATTTAAATTAATGTATATGATATTTTTTTATAAATATTTGTCAATTTAAATTAGTGAAATAAAATATTAAATAATTTAAAAATTTTGTAGATTTAATTTATATATTAAAATTTTTTAATTTAATAATTAGATTCAAGGTTGTCAAAATCAAGAGTTTATATTAACTCGTTGAGAACTTGTAAACTTGAATTATAAACTTGTAAGACACC